CGGAGTGTGCGACAGACTTACCTTCACGTGGTGCACCCTGGGCAACGTATACTCATATGGCAAAAAAGTCTATTAACCGGCAGTTGACTTCAAACTATCAAGGCCCCCTGTATGACATATTCGACCACTTCCACAGTACTACATCACATATTTTCTTAATTTTCAACCTTCGTCTTTGAAACACTCTTCTGTCCCCCCCCCTCTCGACTTTTTTTCACTTTGATGTTCCTCTCCCTCTATGAAGCCTGAAGTCAACTAAAGAGCTGATGATAACCATCAAAACGCCTGCCATTTTATATAAATAAATAAATATTCGTTTAAGACTAGTCAAATATATGCCCTTTTGTTCGAACAACCCCCGAAAAGTCAAATGGACTAAACCGTTTTTATTGTCACGAGGGTGGCTTGTGCTTCAAATTTACCACACTAGAAATTTTATTAAACTATTCATGTTTAGCATCAATCTATTGATAATTGTTATGGCCCGACCAGGAAAATCGGTGCTGTTCAAAGAAAGTTCATCCTAAAATTGCAGTGGAGGATATTGTCTCAGAAATACTATCTAATTTATTTAAAATTATTATATTTATATACAAATTATTAGCGGAAAATATATTTTATGTCAAATTATATTCGTTAACTATAAAATTGTATGATACAAATCTCTTTCAAAATGTTCATTACAAGTTTTGTGATAATCGATAAACAGATTTAATGACCTATAATAGCATTCCTTGTTTAGTTGAATGGGTAAAAAATTGTCTCTTGTGCCTTCAAAAGCTACATCCAACTGAATACTTCGAAAAGAGAGAGAGCCAATGATTAATTAATTACGATCAAAGCGATTTCAAGTCGATTTTATTTCCATATATCTTCCTCCCTGCCTTACATGGCATTTGGACATTTTTGTTATCAATGATACACCATTCACCGCCACCGTTTCACAGAACATAAAGAGCCTTTCATAAAACGCACATACACACACACACAAAAATGAGGCCAACTGCAGTCGCGAATGAATGCTTTTTAGTGCTCTTAACGAAGAAGGATAAAAAGAACAAAAAAATCGAATTCGCTTTGAAAAACAAATAAGTATTAATCGTTATTAATCTGGGGGAAAAATACAATTTTCTCTTGAAACGATTAAAATTTTCAGTCTTGCACATCTCAAAGATAAATGATTTTGGAACAAGTTTAATAAAAAATTACTCCTATATCGTGTAATTATAATATTAATTTAAAAAATTCAAGATACATGATCGTAAAAATTACTCATCTCATTGTATTATACTTTAGGGTGTTTGAAATTTACTTAGAATATCTATTGTCCAATCAAGATGGCCTACATTCTAAATGAGATCATTTACCTGGAAGAAGTTAAATGAGATTAAAGTGATGAACCTTGATAGTTACCAGGGAAATATTCTAATTTTACCTTGAATTCTTTAAAATATTTAATTTTACAACATCTCTACACTTGTTGGGTAAACGACGAAGAAAAGACGAGATTGTATAATAGCGACACTGTTCTTATCACTGGATTCAAGCCAAAAGGGAATCAAGTATCATTAAACTTTTTAATTTATTATCAGTTTCTTAGCTATTTCTATTTCATGAAATAACCTAATAGATAAGTAAAAGGATCGGTTTATTGGATTTTAATAAATACGAATGCACAAGGAATGAATGATCATAATGACATTTTTGCGAGTTCGCAACCCCATGACTCATCCCACTTGAAAACTACCATTTGAAGTGGCCAAGTGCTGTATTCCTCAGTTTGACTTCTCAAGGTCAAATTCATAGAAAATGCCTTCTTCAATTGTACAGATTTCTACCATTTTTTGCGTTTCACAAAGAAGGCTTGAAAATGGAAGGATATCAACTGCCTACGAATCATGGAAGTAAATAAGAAAATTGTCGTTTGTCCGAACACACCTGGTTCTGCAAGCAGATTGTATTAGTAATGTAAATATCCTATCGGTGTCAACAATGCATATAGTTCACAAGACATCGAATAAAGAAGCTAACAGACAGAAAATAATTGGCTTTTAATTAACTTCATTTGCGCAATATACGAGGTTTAATGTGTAATATTAAATTATCGTCAAATTTGTGGTACAAATGTAGAGTTGACACGTGCAAGGTGAGGGTTCTATTGTTTTGTTAGGTTAAAATATAACGCGAATATTTCTAATAAATTTAGAACAAAAGATACCTCATCTTGACCAAAACCTGAGAAATTTCAACAGATATTTGAGCAAATTAAATAAGAAAATTCGTTCTGCTGTTTTATATTTTTGATATAATTTAATAAAATCTTGATTAAAATTGTAAGAATATGCAGTTTATTTCACGAAAGAAACAATTTTAAAGTAACAGAATATCCTATTTTTTAGCAAATACTAACTAAGTACCAAAAAATTCAAATTTATGTCAAAAGTTAAGAGAATTTGAATTTTTATAATAAAAGAACATTTATGATAGTACCTCTGTATCTACTGATTTCTGTTCTTTTCTTCCCTTCAATATAATGGAAATAATTGTATGTCCCTGAATATTAAAAACGCTTGTTTTTAAATTTTAGACCGGAAGTTATTTCCAGAAAATTAGACTGTCGCCTATTATACATTAAAGCTTACAGTCTACTTAACGATTGAAATTCATACCCCAACAATTTTTTTATTTATATTTTTTCAGGGTTAGTAGAAATAACATTTTCTGTCAATAGGTCACGTCTATTATAAGACCTGCTGTCACAAAAAACAGTGGATATTTGTGTCTATTTATTAATTTATTAAATCATAATAAGTCTTCAAGCCACAGTCCAATATTAATTAACAAACAAACATGCAAAATAGACGAACTTAATTGGTTTTAAATTAAACGATTACCAAATAACTTACCAGAGGTTCGCCTTTGGCTTTTGTTAGTTCAACAAAACGGATATTTGAGCGATTTTGTGGACCGTTTACTGAATTCTGACGATAAGGATGGTTGATATGGTTTGAGTTATTGACGTTTGCATGACAGCAAGGTACTTTGACAGCGGCATGGTAGCACTCGCAGTGATGAAAATGCGATGGTCGTTGGTCAAAATCAAAATGATTGTTAATTCCAGAGTACATTAGAAAAATCCCCAAGGTTCAAATGTAGCTACTAATTGAGCAATAATTTAATTGGCTTAATCCTTTGGTAATCGCATTAAACAATGTAGTCTATCAATCATAATTAAAGAGGCCGAAAAAATAACCCTGAATATTCGTGCGTCAAAATTTGTTTGGAACAAACTGGCACGAAACTGGCAACATAACATGGCTTTCAAATCATCCGCGCTATCAGTCCGGCCAATCAATTTACAGTTTATACGCCTGCACATCTTCGAGCCAATCAAATTTTGCGGTGTCACGTGCAGCACATAATCTTGTTCATTTAATCGATTTGATATCGCAAAGAATTGTAATTCACAATGTCTTTAAATGAACTAAAGTTTCCATCATGAATGATAATTACTTAATTATTATCATATAATAAACTTTTTCTATAATATTACACCAATACTTTTATAAAGGGAAGTTTTAGAATGATCTCTCAAGCCACCTCATCAAAGTATAGCTTAGCTAAGTAAATTCCATTGGTCCACATATGAATTTAGGATCTCAAACTTATTCGGGAGCTAATAAAATTAGCAGCATTGGCAAACGAAAAGGCATTTGGAATCGAATTGGCCTTCATCAATCTTTGTTCCAATATTAAAAGCGTTGTCGAATCTTAATGTCATCATATGCTTTCTTGCAAAGCCAAAATAAAAATAGACAATACATAATCAAAACTTTATTTATTTTCTCAGTCATAAAACTGTTGTATGAATCTGGATTATGGCTTTTATATTTTTAACAATCGACAAATTTTTATAGTTATGTTTATCATATAAGCCGAGTATATTCTGCAGAAAATCAGTTATTTCCCTAAAAATAACTGCCTCCAAAATCATGTTTGAAGGTCTTTGTCAATTAAATTTTTGCAAAAAGCTTGACACTACTGAATTGATCATCTTGATATCACTTCCTAAGTGGGTTTGGAAGAAGTGTTGCTTAGTTAATTGGCCTAATGCTCAAAACCGCAATACCTATTTGCTCCCACTCTGTCCCTCCTCTTTACCAGTGGCCCATCCTTAATTATTAATTACCAATTACGGAGAGATGCTTATCCATGAGCTCCAGCAATGCAACTTACAGTGTCGCTTTCTTTGTATACTTTTTTGAAAAAAAAACGAAAGAGATATGGAAAAGAACTGTACTGAGACGAGCGGTCCCGTTTAGTCAACTTCAAATGTTGGTCATAATCTAGATGTTCATGGTTTTATAGTCATTGCCTACACCGTAAAGATCTCCTCATCATTGGACGCTACCATGAATAGTCACAAATCCTAGAAATCCTAGAAATAATCGTTTACTTTCCATTTGACAAAATTCCTAATTTAATTCAACAGGCATGGCCACGTTTCTGAGTGTGAAAATGGTTAGTGGTAAATGAAAATAGAAGTTCTCTGTTAAGTCAGTCAAATGTGGAATAGTAGTAAGTGAACCAGTTAAAATCGACTCATTAACAAAACTCTCTTATTAGACCTGAGTGATTAGTTATATTTGACCTTCTGCAAATGACAAGTAACTCTAGTGAGTTTAGTCAATCGCGGAAAATTTTGGAGATTTTCATATAGTCTATTTATCAGATTATGAAAGGGTTTTTAATTTTTACAAGCCCTTTTAGACCTTGACCAAGAAAATATGCCTTTAAATTAATTCCGTTAAGTTAACCTGGCTTCAGCACCTTTCGAAATTTCAAATCGCAGCTTTTACGAGACACATACTTAACATAAATCTACGTTCTTTAATATATTAGATTTCTTCCCTCTTAAAATAAGCATGAAATATGTGATCATGACACTGTATGGGAATTTAAGTATCCGTTCATGTGAATCAGTACAATTGTCCTAAAAATGTCTTAAAGATTATTCTCAAACAGGACCCAATTCCACACCCACTCCCAGAACTTTAAGGTGAAGGAGGAGGGGATGGAATAAGCTGTGACCAGATCTCCAGAGGCGTATTTTTAACTCCCAATTGATTTTGTAATAATGATAATAAAATTAGGTCCTTCAATAAAAGAAAGCGAAACTCGCCTTTTGATTGGCGAAACCTCTCTGGATCCATGGACTGGCTTGACACGTGTAATCTTCCGGAATACATAGCTTCATATGCGTACATCTTTTAAAAATAGCACGAATACAGGCAGTTCTTTGCGTTGAACAATGACCTACATGCCGACACAAAAAAACAGTGCCTCGATCATAGCAGTCACCTTAAAGGAATGCAATACTTCCAAACATTCATGTCCTATTTCTAGTCAGATCCTACTTTTTTGCTGATATCGTCTGCCATAGGACAGATATCATCAAATTTAATGCCCCCCACAACTCCTTTTCAGCTAAAATGCAAAACTGCTAGCCCACGCTTCATTATCAACGTCTTATGCTGGATATGATCAAATTTATATTACTTAAAAATCTAATTTACTTGTCAGGTAATCTTTCTTGGTCATTTACTTCCTTCGCTTTCTAATGACTTCAACAAATTGTACCTCAACTATAAATAACTGACAGGTGAAAATAATTACACGCAAATAGGAGTTTCAATTTCACAGTGTCGTCCACCTTCATAATCACGTCAATAGAATTAAAAATGCGACACTTAATTGAACTCGTAATAAGCGTTCCCATTAGATACGATATGAATAGCGATATGCAACCCAAGTGCAATGCCCTAATTCGTGTTTGAAGACAAAACGCGAAATTATTTGAATTTAAATTCTAATTATCTATTTCAATGAGTGTAAAAGAATGCTCTCATCGCATGATACAGCCACGCACTATAGTGACTCATAGACATCATTTTTTCTCCACACTGAGAATTCCAAAGGTGTATCACTACATGCTACCCCAATTGTGTAGTGATTTTTAATTTATTATTTGATGATAAACATCCCATATATTAGGAAGTAAATTAAAGGACTCAAGGACAGCAAAACGCAATGAACTTGAAATTTAAAGAGAGTAAATGGTTAGCCTCAACACGGAGTTCCACTCCCCACTAGAGGCATCCAGTTGAGTATGCAAAGTGATCAAGTCAGTGGCCTCTTCTTTCACACGATTTTCTTATCGATGCGTGCAGGTTATTGACTAATAAAAGTGCCTAGGTCTCAAAAGTTATAGTTATATCAAATGGCAGGCGTTTTGACAGTTATCATTAACCCTTTAGTTGACTTCAGGCTTCACAGAGAGGAGGAGGAACATCAAAGAGGGAAAAAGTCGAGAGTGGGGGGTGGGGGTGGGGTTAGAACAGAAGAGTGTTTCAAAAATGCAAAAGAGGCAGACACAAAGGTAGAAAAAAGATGAGGTGAGTATTGTGAAAGTAATCAAATATGACATACAGTGGGGTCATGGTAGTATGAAGTCAGAAGTCAACCGCTAGTTAATTGACTTTCCTTGCCATATGAGTATACGTTGCCCAGGGTGCACCTCGAGGAGGTAAGTCTATCGCGCACTGTACACTTAAAATAATTGCACTGTAACCGGTCCCACTTACTTGAACTTTTTACAGCAGTCTGTTATGCCAAGT